ATTTAGATAATCTATGCACGTTTGATAAAATGTGTACACAGCATCATTGAATTTTTTGGCTTGTATATTTTCTGATTTTTCTAATGCTAAAACCACTTTTCTAATAACAATAGGAAGAAATCCCTCATTTTTTCTTTCAACTAACTTCAGCTTTAATTAACAAGTGTATCATCCATTAACTAGAGAGTTAAAAACTATCACAAAAATCCCCATAAGTGTGTCCACCCCCTGGTACTGTCAGTGGGCCGTTTGGTTGGCGACACACTGCACTACTGCACTCTATGTAGCAATGCAACACTGGTCGTGATGGCGTATACAAAACTAAGTTGTTCAATATATTATTAAAAAAATTTTTTTAACTTTGCGTCAACTTTACAAAATAAAGGACAAAATGCCTATTTTAGAAAATAAAGTTAAAGGACAGAGCAGTAAAATAAAGGACTGTCCTCTTAAATAAAGGACGTATGGTCACTGTAGGTATAACATCAGTTGAAGAGAGGACAACAGGTACAATAAATACCCAAACCATCCTCCACATCTGTCTTATTTCTTGAGTGAGTGGAATGTACTTGTTGATTTTTTCAGAGTAAGCATTTTTTATGTTATAAGTGTTTGGAATGAAAAGTGTCTATTATATAAGTGATATTACTGCATTTGTCAATGAAAAAGATGTCAGATCTATTGTGAGGAATTGTTTTATCTGTGATTATGCTTTGTCATATTATATTTTGTGTGTTATTTTCTATTACTGCTTGTGAAGTATATTTGTAGAATGGTACCTGGATGTTTAGTAACCTGTGCTTCTGTGCAACCTTTTGGTATATTATATTTTCTACTTGATTATGCCTATGTAAATAGTGTTTGTGCTAAGAGCTTGCAACCAGAAGTTATGTTGTATTGTTTCTGGCAGAATGTGGCATTTTTTGCACAAGTCATTTGTGAGTGAGGGTGTGTTTCCTGTAGTTTTTACTTTTCTGACCTGATCTTGAATGGCAACGATAAAATCCTCATCTCTCCAAACAGGGAACCCCTAGTCAGCCAGTAGTTTGATGCAGTTTTGTCAACATATTCCTGAGCTAGGTCTCAGGCATGCCTGCGATGTAGTGCCTTTTGGGCCCATGAATGATTAGTGGTGTCTATGTATTTTACAGTAGACCCCCCTATAACGTGGGTTCCTATAACGTGGCAAAAAATTTGCGACAGTATTCGTATAAAGAGGCTAAAAGGGACACGTAAAACGCAATAAAACTTCATTGCCAACTCGTCATCGCGGACGAGAGTCGAACTACTTTCTGTCGTCTAGCGCCACACTACGGAGAGTTTAGGCGAGTAAGTTGAGTTTACTATCGTCTGTACAGTATGTAAATTAGATACCGTAAGTCTAATACAGCACTGTAATTTTATACATTTCTTGTGAAAGAAACATTTCTTATTCAACGGCCATAAAAATTATATTTATATTAACAATGTCTCCAATGTTCAACGAATTTTTCGCAGAAAAATAACATCAGAAATTGCGGCCACCGTTTGGTGCGCTGCTCCGCGACGAACACAAGCTTAAGCAATGGCGACGTCGAACAGTGCACACTCAGTAAGTAATCCAACAATTTTTTGTTTGTAGTATAGTTTATATGGATTATTCCCAAAAAATTATATGTATTTTGGAAATGTTAAGTCGAATTAGTCTAAAATCGATTAATTTTATGGAAGAAAACCTTTCAAACAGCCGTAGTCCGTAAAGTTCACATGTGTCGGGCTGCGATTGGCTCATGTATTTAAGGATTCCTACAACGCGAAATTCGTATAACGAGGAACGTATCTACTACGTTATAGGGGTCTACTGTATATGTTTAGCTATGTTCAGGTGCTCAGAGTTTAAAGGTGTGGTTACTGTCTGCCAGAGTTATGGCTTATGTAATCTTGATGTTTGTTTTTTTTTGTAAAAACAACTCCTACAGTGTCTGACTTTGTAGTGCAGGTTAAGTATATTAATAAGGCCATGGCCATCTTCACAAGGAAGAGTTAGTCTTTCTATGCATAATTTTGGGTGATATTGTTTATGCTTAGTAAGTGTTATTCTTGTTTTCTTTTGGAGTTGCTCGAGATCTGTGCATGTCAAGTGTATACCTCCAAAAAAATAAATGAGTACAGGAACAACATAGGTATTAATAGCATGTTTTGCATTTAGGTGTGTTTTTAGTACTGCATGTAATCTATTCTGGGACTTGAGTGTTAACCTCCTTTGATTTATTTATCTGTGCATGTTCTGTAAGTTTGGCCTGTTGTAATCCCAATTATTATCATCACTATTGTTGTTATTAAAAATACATATATAACTTACTTAAAATCCTCTTGACGGATAAATTCTACAATAATATCCTTTTCAGGTTGAATTTGTAACATTTTTAGAATTAAACACAGAAAAGGAGTTGGCTTAATATTGCCTCCAAAAACACCACCACAGAATTTTAATTCCATTGCTTTATCCACCAGCAGTTCAGCTATAAAATAAGAGACTTCAATTAATATACTTAAAAATTTACTTTTAATTAATGTTAATTAAAACATAAACATTGTCAAATACACTGGAAAGAAAAAGATAAATCAAGTCATGATTCCAATTCATTTTCTTCCTAAAAAAATTCAAAGATAAAAAAACTTTCTGAANTTCATTTTCTTCCTAAAAAAATTCAAAGATAAAAAAAACTTTCTGAAACAGAATAACGAAATAATAAGATTTAGTAAATCAAAGGATAAGTGTATACTTCAGTAGAAACAGACTCTGTTATTTGTCTTATTTCCTGTTTTTTTATAGCATAGAAATGGCTATTTACTGTCAACAACAGTGTAGCTTGATTGACTTATATTTCTACTAGTATGTACTGTACCATCAAAGAAAGGAGAATGGACAGGAAGAGTCAACAAATACAAATGTTTGGTAAATAGATTGTTGAAAAAAATAAATTATTTTACTGTTAAAAGAATTTTATATTAAATATACTGTAATTAATAACAAATATAAAAAGAAATATATAGTTAACTTTACAAAAAAATTTATGTATTACCAAAATATTCATTTTGTGCATTAAACCAGGTTTTATTCTTAATTATGTTGGAAAAGCTATTCTGAAACTAAATAATAATAATATTTAATAACAAATATTAACATTAATGTATGTTAATATTTGTTACTTTTTATAATACATTTAATGAAAATTCAATTAATAGAATTTTAAACTTTCACTAAATTAAATTAATTAAATATATTTATTTAGCAAAATGTCCAAAAACTTGACATTTATAGGATTTTAAAACCTCAAAATAATCACGGACTAAACAACTTTTATAATCTATATATAATCTGCCTAAAAGTAAAATTTGCTTTCGTAGCTTGGGGCTGACCTCAAACAACCTAATTTACAAGTTCTCTTCCATCCAACACGATATAAAAACTTGAAATCACTACTAAAGCTGCTAAGATCTATATTCAATGTATAAAATAAATCCACATTTGGATTAAATACTATTTTAACTAACTCTTCAGGTTCTAAAATTTTAGGCACATCCACTATTAAAATATGAGGTCGTCTTTTTTTTTTTTTTTGTTTTGGAACACTAATACTCAACTATGTTTCTGCTAACCTATCATGACTACGAACTCTTTCCTTGTTATTATTTGTAGCTAGAGACACTAAAAAGCTATTACTACATGTCTTCTTCACACTTTTTAGTCTAATCTTATATTGTAATGAGTCAATAGCAGATAGAAACTTATGCTTTATCTCCTCAGCATCTTGGTCCGATGTTCCCTTAACAACCACAACACTTTCTGCTTCCTGAATTGGTTGCTGAATACTAAATCCTACTAACCATTTGTGCATATGACTTACTCTGGACCGACCTACCTGAGGCCACTCTTTCGAGACTTTCAACTCTACCCTTTAATTGCTCATTTTCTATCACTAATGAATGTACAACAGCAGTAACCTCACTAAAAAGTTCCATTAGTTTCTGTGCCATTACTGCTGTTATTCTACTATTTTTGTCTGAATGTTTTGAAATATATTTATATTTATTTATTTAGCTATCTATTTAACTTTGTCAAACCCTTGTAAGATTCAAGATACACAAAACCAATATGACTAAAAGTTTGGATTAATTGATTCAAATTAAATTTATAAATCTTCATTCATAAATTTTGAATCACTATATCACTATTGACAAGACTGTCTTGTTTATAAAATTGTACTGCCGGTTTACGTTACCAGCTTAGAGGTATGAAGGAGTGCATATCGAGAGTTGATATTTGGCACAGAGTATTAGGTGCCCAAATCATTTGTGCATAAAAAAATTCAGATTCGTAGGTAGTCAGGGGACTGAGAACTGAGTCAAAATAAAATCCAAAATGGCGACCCTCTTCTACAAACAGGCAAAACAGGCACCTCACCCCACTGAAGTCAGGCGGGGGAGAGTACGACCCACAATAATTCTAAGAAGTGAACTCTGACCTTAGGACTGAACATGTCGTTTCTTCTATGTTAAATAAAATTTGTAATCTAATTTGTAAATTTGGGAGTGCTTCAAATATGACATTAAAACAGGGTGTTGTTACAAGTAGGATTTTTAACATTATCTAGTACAGTAACATTTCATCTAAAACACCTACTTGTATGTTTAAAAAAGATGAAATGATGCTAAAAATACTTTTTTCTCTTCATTTCTTTTAATGACATGATTAGTAAAACACAGGTAATTTATTACACAAATATAAATTAATTAAATATTACAATTTCGCTTAAAAATAGACATCATCTATGGCAGGGGTGTCCAACCCGCGGCCCGNTGGCGACCCTCTTCTACAAACAGGCAAAACAGGCACCTCACCCCACTGAAGTCAGGCGGGGGAGAGTACGACCCACAATAATTCTAAGAAGTGAACTCTGACCTTAGGACTGAACATGTCGTTTCTTCTATGTTAAATAAAATTTGTAATCTAATTTGTAAATTTGGGAGTGCTTCAAATATGACATTAAAACAGGGTGTTGTTACAAGTAGGATTTTTAACATTATCTAGTACAGTAACATTTCATCTAAAACACCTACTTGTATGTTTAAAAAAGATGAAATGATGCTAAAAATACTTTTTTCTCTTCATTTCTTTTAATGACATGATTAGTAAAACACAGGTAATTTATTACACAAATATAAATTAATTAAATATTACAATTTCGCTTAAAAATAGACATCATCTATGATACAGCCATCTTGTATAAATAACTGAAAAATATTTTAATTAATTAAAAACTACTACAACTAGTATAGTGTCAAATAAGCTAATGGCTTGATTAGAGCTAGGAACAAAAGCAGTGATTTTTCTAGGAAATATGTTGGATATGAGCACTTATTCACTAAGAGGCAAAATGGTCAGGCAGACTTGTATGTTTTCACCTCAAAAAATAATCTGGGGAATGCTAAGTTTGTACCGACTTTTCAATATAATAGCTTAAGTCTATGTTAAAGTAATATGTAGGAACTTTATATTTGAATGTCTTCAGTATAAAATAAATATATTACTGGCAGTTTTCTTACATGGTGCAGCCATTTTTCAGTAGTTAAAACAATATAATAATTTTGACAACCTAACAACATTAGGTTGTCATCTCATTTTATTTAAGTTTTTTTACAATTATTATTTTACAAATTTGTTTCATTTTATAAATTATCTTTATGTGCAAATATATTTTTTATAGCTTAGAGAATATTTCATTGCATTTTTATAAAAAGTTATAATTTTTGTATACAGGAATTCCCCTAGCTTACGAACATCCAACTTACAAACAATTTGAAAAAATTTATTTAAAATATGCCTAATGTCTAAAATTTAAACTACATGCAGATTGTAAAGGTCTCTTGCCAATCACAGGGTGCCATTGAAATTAGTCTTTGGTCAATAGTAAGTAATAAATTCTTTAATAAATAATTTATAAAGATTTATTTATCATGTAACATTGTTATCCAATAAAATAAGTCTCTCTAATAAAAAAATATTAATATCCAATAGTTTGTGTTCCAAAAGTATACAGACAGCAATTACAATTTTTGTCCAGTAAACAAATAATTTTTTCAAAGATATACATATACTTATTTGCATATGCCTACTGAAATTAAGAGATTGCAAACATTTAGACAAATCTGCAACTGCAGTTGACAATTTTATGTTCAAAACTGATAAATGTAGCAACACAAATCAATTGCCTGATTATTTATCAAGCTTTAATAAGACTATTTTAATTTTTAATTTAAGTTAAAAATTAAATATTTCATTAGATGGCAGCCTAACTGCCTACCTGTAGACAAACTACTTTATCTAACCATTCAATTAGCCTTGTGTATGTTATTATATGTATGGCTTATTATAGATAAAATATAGTACCAAAAGTCACCAGGATGGTCATTAAAGTTATCAGCAAGATACAAAGTTCTTTAATAATTGTACATTTCTAACAGTACAAGTTTACCATGTCCATACATTACATTAAGCATGTTGATTTTTTCACAAATTTTAGACTTCCAAACAATTACACTGTAAGAAGAGAAAGAATCAGCCATCTATTAAACTATCAGATTAAATTGGGCCAAAGAAATGTCCTGGACTATGAGATGGATGGCAACATATATAAATATACAGAAACAAACTTTTAGCCTACTTTACTACAAAACTTTTTTGATAAAAATTATTGGAATGAAAAGTTTTCATATTCGTTTACTATATACATCAAAACAACTCTAATAATTCAACGCAA